ATGCCAGCATTTTAGCCTGACATTTTTACAGAGTGCTGCAGAAAAAAAAAAATAAAAAATTACAATTGCAGTGCATTAACTTGAAATGATACCAGAGTGCAACAGCAAATTGAGCTTCTAATTTCAAATGTCAATTATTTGAATACCCTTGTGAAGGTCATAATATTTCTATTACGAATTTTGTAACTCATATATATATTCTTGAACGGTGTCAACAGCCGGGTTCTATACAAACGGGTCCTTCAATTTGAAAGCTACTTATCATTACAAAGCTTTGCATTTCAGTTTTAGGCAGAAGCTATGTCAGAATCGACCTGATCAGATCACTTTATCATGTGGCTGACATAAGATATAGCTCGTTTGAAGTCAACAAACGCCATATATGTCTACTTCTACAAATCAAAGTACTATATCTTTTTGGCTGTAAATACATCTATACTAGTGTATTTAGTTTTCGTTTTTTCTTGTCGGTATTTCACTTGGCTATTGGCGATTGACAAACGCATTTACCCTGTCATGCAACTTAATTGTTTATATGATTTATTGGCTTACTAAAAGCCCGATTAAACATGTTTAGGTCTTAAAGTGTATTTCAGCTGTAGCACAGTGTGGATTGAAAGTTCTTGAGTTGCGGCATGCATTCGCTGGAATGTGTAACCGCGCGCTGCCTGTTGGGCATCTACTGGTGGATGGGTCTGGTGCCCCTGCCGCTGAGCTCCCAGCTTTTGTGGTTGCTGCTCGCTTTGCTTGTACGTTGCATTTGGCTTGGCTACTATCTGATGATGCTGTGGATTGGTGTCTCGTATTTATGGAATGATAAAGGACTGAGCATCAGCTACATCAGTGGAACGGCTCTTTTCATAGGCTACTCATTGCTAGGACTGCTAATACAGGTAGAGAGCGCACTGAAGCATCGAACCTACGCGCGCTTGGACATTTTGCGAGTTCAGTTGCGACTGCGGATGCAGCGTCTGGGTATGTCGCGGGGCTGTAGCAGAGCCTGGCGCCTGCTACTGCTGCTGGCCACGCAGATCGGCAGCGATGCGGCCAGGACCTGGGCGAATGCACATTATAGCATATCGCCCGTACACATTATCTCCTTGCCCCAGAAGTGGCTGTTGCGCCTACGCTACGTCCAGCTGCTGTGGCAGGTGATGGAGCTGAACCAGCGTGCTCGCCAACTGCGCCACTCGCTCCTCGGCCTGGCCGCTGGAAATGACCTCTGGCAGCCGTACGGCTCGCAGGAATGGCAGCAGCTGCAGACGCTGCGACTAAGCTATGACCGCATCTACGAGTGCTACGAGGCCTTCAGCGACTGCTACGGCTGGGGCATGCTGGGGCTGCAGATGATGTGCGGCCTGGAGTTCGTGTCGAATGCCTACTGGATAATCACGGAGGCCTACATAACGCAGCGGGTCTACATGCTTATCTACAATGGTAACAGCTGCTTTGCCATGGGCACACTCATCGTAGCGCTCTTCTGGTATGGCGACGCAAGTGCCAATAATGTGAGTATAAGCTACAGCTCGAGATCATAGATGATCACGCTATATAAAAAAAACTACAACCTCCCACCTTTAAGCCCGCACTCCTCAAAGCATTTATTATCTTCGACCCTATTGTTCCCTATTGATCTGTAAGGAAAACAAAAAACACGATTTAATACCCTTTTAGACCCAGCCTTTTAATAAGTCTTATAGTACTTTGCTCGTATCTACGAAGCACAGGAAAAATACTTAATGCCGAATACAAGAGCCTACGTTTCCTATGGCAGCTTTATGATATAGTGTTCCGGTCCAGCTGGTTCTGACATATGTACTGCGTGCAAGAGAAAGAAGCACTTCTGCATAGTTTCATCACGATACCTCATAAACTGAGAGACTAGTTCGCATGAAAACAGACAGACGGGCAGACGGACATGGCTATATCGACTCGACTGTTGAAACTAATCAAGAATATATATACGTCATGGGGTAGGAGATGTATATTGTAGGGTCTAACAAGTTCGCCACAAGCCACAGTTAGGGTATTAAGAAACACGTTTTAAAGAAGTAAAAGCTGTCCTGTTGAGCCACCTAATTGATCCGATAACTTCTAAGAGAAAGGAAAAAACCTGAAATTACTCCAATAATTATGACAGTGATGAATTGGTGGACTTATGACCTGTGAGCATGACAGACACAACAGAAGCTGACTCCTTCTGTATGGTCTTGGCACCCAGTTAACAGTAGACATGCAGCTCTTGAGCGGATCGGTGTTGGCGAAGGAACTCTTTCACTTTGTGCTGTGTTTATTTGGAGTGCTATGGAATGCGCGGCTGCATCGGCTGCAGTTCGTGCCCCTTGGACTTTGGCTCTGCTGGTTTGTCGTGATTTGGTTAGGTGCTGCAAGAAATATGACACTATTTCCGAATTGCAAACTCGAGTGTCTGATCGCATTTTCGATGTTTGTCACGGTGACCATAGCACATGGCATCATTTTGCTGAACACCTTTCTGCAGCGTCGCACACATCGCCAGCTCGAACTGCGCTTGGATGTTTCCCGTTTGGAAGTACAGAACCAGCGACATGTGTTGCTGCGCGTATCTGGCGTCGTTGTGCCCTTTCTGGTGATTCAGACTCTGATCGTCTGGTCCAAGATAGGTCTCGCGTCGCAGTGGTATACGCCAATCTTTTGGTTTTCCTCGCCCAGTGACTGGGGTGTGCAGCTGAAGATGATTGCGTTTCTTGCGGACGTCTTGTTGGCCAATGAGCGCGTTCTCTGTGTGCAGCAGAGCCTGAAGCAGCTGGCTAGACAGCCCAACCACGGCAGACAGTCGCCGAATGTGGTGTCAGTGATCAGATTTAAGGAAATGTACCGAGAACTACATCAATTGTTTGTGCAGCTTAATTTCGCTTATGGCGGCAGTTTGCTTATCATTTTCATAGTATTATTTTTCAACTTTCTGTTCAACTCCTTTTGGCTAGTTAGACACACACTGACCCGGCTTAAGAGACCAGTCTATATATACATACATCTGGGCAGTTTACTCAACCTGGGACTGCTGCTCTCTGCGACCTGTTGGCACTGCCAGCAAAGCTTTAATCATGTGAGGCATAATCCTACATTTGATTTTATTTAATGTCCTAAAATTCTATTTTTATAGAGTCGCCAGATCGGCTGCTTGATACCCAAGCTAGTGAACCCTATGGGCAGCAAGCGCTACAACGATTTGGTCAGCGAGTTCCTGTTGCAGGCTTTGCATCAACGCTTTGTCGTGACGGCAAAGGACTTTTTCAGCCTCAATTTGCACCTGCTGAGCAGTGTCAGTTAAACACTTAACCTTTTTTTGGGGAATAATAAGGTTGTCCCTTGTCTTCTTGCAGATGTTTGCCGCTGTGGTTACTTATCTGGTCATTCTCATACAGTTTATGTTTGCCGAGAAAAGCTCCCAGGCTACACCCAGGCCGGAGAAAATGACAACCATTGACTAACAAGCTGTTGTGAAATCCGTATAAGAATATAAGAATAGGTCACAACTAAAAATGATCTCAATACACAAACTTGTTCTTTAAAATTAACTACACATATACATAAATAATATTCAGATTTCAAAATATATATTCCCTGCTTTATACACTTTTTCAAGCTTATTCTATGTGATTTATGTGTTTAGAGGATAAAAAGGACATGCGAAGAAAGTCAGAGCGAGCTATTATTAGCATGTAGTATGCTATTGTTTTTCAAATAAGAAACTTTAATCAAGTGTACTAAGCAGTGCTACTGCTCAAAAAAAAAATATATATATATATATAGATATACTCCATCTGTCTTACTCGAGAATTCAATCCTGAGTACCCTAGTTTAATTGCAATAAAAAATAAAGCATCACAGATGTGCTTCAGGGCTTTTAATCTTACAATTCCCAACCACGTTTAACATAGACTCATTGGCATGGTTTGGCTCAAGCCGCAAAGATTGTTAAGACAAAGATGCTTCCTATATCACCGCAACAGCTCAGGTCAGCTCTTTGTTTTAATTTTTTTTACATTTCTGTGAACTGCAGTAGACACTGATGGGAAGGAGTTAAAGATAGCGCATCTGCTGCCGTAGCCCAACAACCACATGTGCCTTAATTATTTATGCCGCCCACAGAGCGTTTTTTGGGCTTGGGCGTCTCGAGTGCCCACATGGAACTTAGACTACATCAAGTTTAGTTATTCTTAAGCAGACAAAACTACTTCACGCATATTAAACTGGCATTTCACAGGCTGAAAAACTTTTTCTAATATGCAAATTCATGCCGAATCCTTGTGCATGCCACAGAAAGGATAAAGTGGCGCCAGCAGCAGGGGCACATCCTTGAATTAACACGTGCGAGCTCGCATTAATTTGTAAACTGCTCGGGGGACCTACACCAACCTAGTGCTATGTTGCCTGTGTTTTATCAGTTCAGAGATACTAAGAGATTGAGAGACAGAGCGAGAGAGCGAGTGAGAGAGAAAGAGAGGTGGAGAGCCGGGGAAAGAGCTTGGGAATTTAGTTTTTGTCGTTAGCTATGCAAATGCCGAGACATGTAAATATTATTTACCACATGGCCAGATGCTCGAAATGTAACTGTGCCGCCGCTTCTCGTCTTAATTAACATAGAACAACTAAAACACTCGATTTATAAATATGTATGAGCCCCAAGGATTAGTGCACTAAACTATTTTTATATGCTGATCATGTTGAAGAGGTACAAAAGTTGATATGCGCATGCAATGGGCAGAAGACGGCTCTCAGTTGGAGTCTATAATAGAGTCTAGACCAACTCTGTGGACTAAATAAAAATAGGGAGCTGCGCGAGATCTCGAAGAGACTCGTCTAAGGGCATAGAAAGCAGCATGACTATCTTAGAAGCTCCTGCTTGATTCAATAGCTTGACCACTCAGCCAACTTATTTAACAGTTATAGCCAAAAAAATAATGTCTTCTACCAAAACCAGGCAACCATTGCACTGCTTGTCAAATTTGTATTGTTTTGCAAGTCATTGCAGGCTGTCAAAGTGCAAGCATTATATTAAAGAACGTACAGAGCGTAGTTGCGAGGTGGACTTTCTCTTTCTATCGAGTCGGAATTATCTGTGCTAGAAGCAGCATGAATCCCAGCTTTGAAGAAATGTGGAATGGTTCCGGCTCCGTAAGTTGTTTTGAATCTGTGCTTATCGCTTGAGCTCTATCCTATTCGAGACATTCTAACAGCCGACGGGCAATGAGCTGGATGGCGACATATTCGCATCGATGCAACCTTATCGAGTGCCCCTTGCGACAGCCGCGGGCAGCGATGCGCAAATGGCGATGGCCTACAGGAAGGCGCACGCGTGGAACGTTTACGAGGCTACATACGAAATGGAGATGATTAGCACAAAGACCATTTGCAGGAAGTGCCTGTTGCACGTGAAGGTCTGTCGCACATATGGCCACAACCTGAAAAAGTACGAGACAGACCTGCAGATGGCCAATACAGCTGAAAGCTGCAGAAGCAGAGACAAGAATTAAAGGGTATTCAAAGAACACAATTCCTCTTATAATATACAAACTACAATTCTTTATTTATACGAATTAAACTACAAATAGTTCCTAAATCATCTTGGGCTGATTGGGCAACCGTACGCGTGCCATTTTGCTGGGCGGTGCGCCATTCTCTGCCAGACTGCTGCCCTCCGTTTCGGCCAGCACCTGCTTCAGCTCGGCATTGGCGCCCACCTGGCAGTTGCGCCACGGCGGCAGCAAGAGGCTCGTGGTGGCCGAGGGGGCGGAGAGCGGCTGCACAATGGGTTTGGCCAGCAACAGTGGACCGAACTGGAAGTCGTCGGTCTTCTCCATTTTGGCAATACGTAAGTCCTTGACATCTATAAAGGTTTTGTTGTTCAGATTGGCAAAGCGACGCGCCTCGACTAATTGATTCCTGGCCATGGCTGGGGCAAATCATGTTCAAAAGGAAGATGTTATCGTATAAATTGGCTTCTTACTGTATGATAAATCCAGTAGATAACGACGTGCATCTGGCTCGGCCTGAGCACCATAGCATTGCAGCACGTTGTCTATAAAGTTCAGATCGAATCTGAGATTCAAATTAGCCTCAGTTAACTTGTATTTAGAGTCCATGTGCAAAACTGTAGCAGGAACAACTTTGACAGGCTGCAAACTCTGCTAGGCACTGTGTTCGAAAGTAATCGATAAGCAGAAGCGTTACCCAACACTGAACCGCACTGTGGCAAACAGTTTTACAGCACTCTCAACTCTCAGTCTTTTTCAAAATATCTGCCCGTTGCAAAAGCTAGATAAGTTTTTGCGGAGTTAAGAGTTAAAGCTAATTGCTTTTTAGAGTGAACGAATTATTGGCCAATCCAACTTTCTGGACTAATAAAAAGTTGCGTGCATGTATGAATATTTGATTCATTTTACAAAGCATTCAACTTTTTTGATGAATTTTCAATTTGAAGAGGCTTTTGTCTACGAACACCCGAACGCAACGATGAGGCGAATCATTTGGCAAAACTTTTTAAATATTCATAAAATTCCAGCAGACAACTTTCCAAATTTAATTAGTCAAATGAACGAAACGTTCAGCTAACTTCAGCTCAGATTATGCAGACAATAGAGTTTAGCCCTGGGGCTTCGAGATTTACTACTTATTTAGCATGGGACTCAGCTCAATTTAAAGTTTGGAATAGATTTGTAATTAATGCAAAACAAAGCAACTAGCTTACATGTGAGAAGGCGTGCACTTTTCCGATTGCACTGTAAACTGTATGGCAACAAAAAAACGGCTACCTATGGCAAGCCGAAGTTTAAATACCCTTATAAACTTGCTTCTATAAAAAAAACTTTATTCCCCATCGATTGTTCCCAAAGGAAGGTTATAATAAAGTAGTTCGATTCGATAGACATGCAAGGCAAATAGAAAGGCACGTTTTTTCTGAGTTTGGTGACGTTAAGAAAAATATTTTCCATGGAAAAACGATATTTTCTCTGACTGTTTATATGGCGGCTATAGTGTACAGTTGTTCAATCTAGTCGGTTCCGGGATATGAACTGCCTGAAACAGACAGATGGACTTATGCTTATGGATTTAAAACATAGAGACTAGCTTGCATAAAAACTGACAGACGGACAGAAGAACTTGTCTATATGCACTCGGCTGTTGATATTGATCAAGAATATATACAGTTTATGGGGTCGGCTATATCTTTTTTCATGTATAACCAAAATATGTTCTTCAAGAGCATAGCAGCAGGATAGAAAGACATTAATATAGGGGAGCTGGATGCTTAATATATAATTAGCTTTTGTAGTACTATTTTATGTATCTCATAAAGGGAAAAATAAAATAAGTTTCGTTTATACAAAAGACACATCTTTTAATCATTTAATCATTAAAAACCCTTAACTTATTTCAGAAGTAAATTCAATTTGAAAATTAAAGCCAATTGAGCACAGCTTACATATATAGAGAGAAAAAGGGTATCTCCCAGTAACATACTCTGTACCAGCGCATTATTACATCTTTATATTTACGTTCTATGCTCGTACGTATGCCATATAAGCCCGTTTGGGTTTATGGCCGGCAATCTATTGCCATTTGTAGGCTGGCAAATACGTTTTTGCGCCTCGTTCTGCCCATTTGCCATTTACGTTGGCCGCAATGTGCGCAGGCGAAATCGAAGTTTTATGCTAATTTCTGCAACAGCACACAAGCACACACACACACCTACACACACACCTACACACAAACACACACACATGACAGAGCGTCCATCTTGTTGCTCTTTGCAGCATTCCATTTCCCACTGACTGAAAGGACCTTATCTGTTTGTCGGACGCCTGTCAACACAAGGCATTACAAGGCAATTACGAATTTGTTTATGGCACTGAAATCTGAATTTTCTGCGGCTGTGCCGAGCTTAACCAAAGATCTCAACGATTTACTGAAAAACAAGCTATACCCACCTTTATCTAGTTGTTCAACGCGTTTCATTTTAATTTGCCACTTAACTAGGAATTCACCTAAAAATAAAATACAAGAAAACAATTCAATTTGTGTACTTTATTTATATTTTTGGTAATCTGTTTAATAATATGTTGACTATTTTGGCCAGCATTGAACTGCAAGCTGTACAAACAGTGTTGGAAAACAAAACGATAAGCGCATTTTACTCAACACGGAGCCGCACTGTAAATTTCAATTTCCAGCACTGGCAAGTTAAACTTTCATAGTAAAAGCTGATTGGCTTGTAGAGCAGGAGAGAAGTTTAGGTGTTCGTTTTTTTTAGAAAAGTCCTAAATAATTGGTATGAAATTTGCTCACTATTCGAGTTGCCAACTTGAAATTTAGAAAGCTTATTAACATAGACACTCCACAAGGAAATCAGTTGAATTTTGTGCAATTGATTGGACAAGAATTTGAAAATAAGGAAGTCTATATATCTAGGGATTTGAGTGTCGAGCACACGTAGCCAATGTAATCAACAGCTGTAATCAAAGTCCACACATGCAGAGCCACAAATTACTGCACACAAGTCAAGCCTTATAAATTGTACACTCCATCCATAATAATCCTCTTCCACTCAACCACCTAGAACGCTGTCCCAAGTGCCCAAAGGGGAGAGCGGAGGCGGGGCGAGAAAGAAAAAAGTGCGTCACTTAAAAGTTTTGCACTCACTTGACCAGAAACTTTTATTTTCTGTTAGGAAATTTCCCACGGGTGCCCAAGCCAGTAACAAAATGTACGTAGTACAACGAATAAAAGTTTTCGTGTCCACAAATTGAAAATATTTCACAGTCATATTTAATTTTAGTAGAGCTGCGACGTCACAAATCTCAGAGGTAATCAAACAGATTGAGAGCCGCATTTTGTTCAATTTCATTTGGCGCAAAGTCCTCAGCTACATACAAATCCATATGTACACATATATATATATTTGTGTATGTACTACATACATATATTTAATTAGACTCGTAAGTGATCGCCTGGTCGTGGACTTGGTTTATATTTCAGCCTTCTTGACTTTGTCGTCTGCAAATTGAACGCAGCACAATAAAAATGTCAAACTACGTACACAACTTTGCGGACAAAAAAGGACAAGCAATGGCGCTGCAGGCATTCATGACTGACTAGAATATACCCTCTACTTAGCAAAATTACAATCAAAGAATACACATATTTTTTTTATAGAATTTTTCTAATAATATTAAACAAATATATAATTAAATAAAGTAATATGTAAAATAGAAAAAGTAAACACTTTAACTAACTATATCAACAGCAGATGTGTGATTACACAATTTTTGTGGATTTTATATAAGGTATTTTTATTAAAATCCTTAATTCTTTTGAAAGTTTGTAAATTAATAAATTAAATTTCCTTTAATGTCTCTTGTGTTTTTATCAAATTCTTAGGAAATAAAAGCTGTGGTGAGATAAGCTCGAACCAGAAAATAGGCTAGTCTCGAATTCTTATTTGAAACAATAAGAATATTATTAAAATTGTCAAGCCCAAACTTCTTAATTTTCTGATCAATATAAGGTTCAAGCAATTTACCCAAATATCGTTATTACAAATTTTTCAATGTTTTTAAATTGGGGAAATGTAGAAAAAAGCAACAAAACAATAACAAAAGCAATAACAAAAAATTGAGTTTCTTCCAATTCCACTAACTTTTACAAGCCAATCCAACCCATTTGAGCAAATCCCCAAAGTGCAGGGTATTGAAAAAAGGAAGTAATGAGCACATAGAGAAAGCAAAACTAAATAAATAATTCAGTATAAAATGTCAGGAGCATCAGAAGCGTTCATCATGGTGACTAACAAGGAGAGTGTGGAAGGGAATCGGCGTGGACTCCACTCCACTCCACTCTACTCCACGGCTCGGCCAAGGACCAAGGAGCGTGGAGCGAGGAGCGAGGGAACGTCTCACAATTTCAGCGGAAATGGGATGACAGCGACAAGGACGTAGTGGAGGCGGCAGATGCATTCAAGGAAGCAATTGTATTGTCTGACTGCTGTTTTCCACTTTACTTTGCCACGCCTTGCAGCCCTCTGCACCCTCGCTGCGCCGCCCCCCCGCCTTCGACCCGGCGCGCTGTGTGTAACTTGTTGACGTTGATAGTTGTACGTGCCGAAGGTGAATGGCATCTGTGGACGCGAAATTGAATTCGTGCCTGGCAAGTTTCACACACAACTGAATTGAGTCACAGCGACAAGGCGTCAGGAGATGTCCTGGCAGGTGCTACTCCCTACCGTTGGCTAGTGTCCCAGTGCCTGCTGCCTGCCGACTGGTGCCTGTTCCTGGCTCTGGCTCTGGCTTTACCCGCTGACTTCGATATTTTGTCGCATTACGTTGACAATTTAGATGTTTGTCAGCGCGCATTCTCGCAGGATTCAATTTCGAAAATGCAGCCCGGAAAATTTGCAATGCGTGCGAAGTGCAAGCGCTCCCCGCTGTCAAACAGAAATGCGCGCAGACAAAAATCATTCGACTAGCGCTCAAGGCCCCCTCTCCCACGTGAAGGGAGGGTGAGTGGAGAGGGGGGGGGGTGTCCGCGTCGTACTTCCCAGTCATTCATTAGAAACCATAATGTGCCACACAGTGTGCCCAACAAAATCTGCCATGTACCAAATAAAAATTGCAACACTTTTTATTTTGTTCTACTCGAAAACTGTCACACGCCAAGCCAAGCGCAAGGGTTGCGCCACGCCCCCCGCCCCCGCCCTCCGCGCGACCCGCATCTAAGCCCTAAACCCTTGGAAATTGTAATGTGAATGTCGCTGGCAGCGCAAACCCAACTGGCATTTCATTGTTGTGCTTTTTTCACTACATTCTATTTTATATAATGTGTCTCGAATGTGTGTGTGTGTGTGTGCGGGGGGGTGTGGGGGTGTGTGTGTGCGTTCTATCAAAGCGCAGGAAACACGTGCGGGTAAAACATTTTTCAAGCTTTTAGCGCTGCATACAAATCAACCCCAAAAAACAAAACAAGCCCATGGAGCGGGTGCCAGGGAGGAGGCTAGGGAGGCGGGGCTAAAATCCCATTCACAATAATTTGTTGAACTTCATAAGAGCCCAAAAGGGCTGGGATGATAAGAAGCTTTCCTACTCAGCAATCTGTTGCGTTATGATTACTCTGAACTCGCTCATCTGAGAGATTCACAAAATGTGATAACAGTAATCACCGGAGTCGAGGCAGGTGAACGACAAATCACGTTGATGCACTGCATCAAGCTAATGGATGGCAACTTCGAGGGCAAAGCCAAACAAATCATGACCTGCGACTAGTTTAGCAGAGCGCAAATAAAGACTCCGGCTTTAAACAAGACCCAAGCAAAACTCAATTAATCCAATTGAATCCAATTTAGTTTCGCTATTATCTTGCAAAATGTTCCCATAATTGAAATTAGCAAAAGTAGAGTTACGAAATACCCTGTATCCAGCTTTGAACTCGTCTCTGCAGAGGAAGTGTTCGTTCTGCCCTCACCTACACGCTATGGAAAATGGATTCTTGGGTAACTTCGGTGCTTAAAGTCCAACTTTTATCAGATTCTCAGAGATCAAATATGATATCCAAATGAATGTATATTCGATATCATATTTTGAATATTTTTTTTTTTTGTTTATATCAATAAATATTAGCTTATATAAAGAGTTAAAAGAGTTGCTTACATACTTTACAGGGGTGTACGGCGGTCTAGCAATAGCAGATTTGATTTACAGTTAACTATGTTAACTATGTTAACTATGACATTATGTTCGCTCTCGAGGTAAGACAGTCGGCTTTCACTGTTAAAAAACAGAATTATAGCAAGAGGGGTGAGTTTTAACAGCATATGTAAGCATTAACATAACAGCGGATAAAATTTAGCAGCACTATTTTCAATGTGCACTTTTAACTATGAGGTCAAGCTCCACTTTTATTTACTCTGAAATTTATTAATGAGCAATATATCTTGAAGTTTTAAATGCCTGGCATTTGCAAGGTTTAGTTATTTAATTTGTAAGGTTTATTGGGCTTTGCCCCAGTTCTACCCCAGCAAGAAAACAAAAATTGTTCAGAGCCAACGCAACGCCAAACTGTTGCTCCTTTTAACAGAGCTGCGTATTCACCACGATAACAGCAGACGAGAGAGCAGACGCTTGCGCACAATTTCCGCACGAGCTGCTGTTACAGCGAGTGGGTGAGAGGCGTACTCTCTCTCTCTCTCTCGCTCTCTGCTTATTGGCGGTTGTTATGGGCAGTGTTGAGGCCGATGCGCGTCGGCTACTCGTTACAGCTGTCGCTGCTGCTACTTATGCTCTCGTCGGCAGCATTACCGCCGCCGCCGCTGCCGCCTCTGCTGCTGCCGCTACTGTTGCTGTTGCAGCTGCCGCTGCTGAGCCACACTCAGTCTGCTTGTTACATTTGAATCGCATGGTGGACTCGGTCTGCTTCGTGTCTCGTGTGGGCCGGCAAACTGAGATTTTCGAAATACGAGTTTTGTGCACGTGTGTGGCAATTACGAA